CACACACACATATATATATATATAAAAATATATATATAAATATTCCTCAGGTGTGCTGAATTTTCTTTCTAGGGAAGGTGGTGAGGATAAGTGAGCACGGAAATGATTTTGTCACCCAGCTCTTAGGATCTCACTGGTTTCTTGTCCATCTTATGGCAAATCATTTAGGGCAGGAAAACAACATTTAATCCTGAAATCACCACCGTGATTTTGAATCCGTGCTGTTGCCAAAAGGAAGAACTTTTGGATTTTAATGGGTGAAAAGAAATGAAGCAGGTTGGGATGAGCTCACCCCGAGTACCCAGCAAGAGAAAACACGGTGCTGGGGAGTCTTGGCTGCTCCAAGGGAAATGCCCATTTCCTGCTTTGAATTCAAAGTAATTGGATCTAAAACTAAATTAACTTTGTAATAAAGATGAGATTAGTAATGTAAGTGCTTAATACTTGATCCCAAACTATTTTACTTGGCTTTCCCAGCACGCTTGGATGGAGTTGTCATGGTAAGAACGTTGAGGTCTCGAAGAGAATGAGCAGTGCAGCAAAAGCCCAACAGTCAGCACTTGTCTGTTGTTGGATCAATTAAAAAAAGCTCCTTTTTTTTTCCTCTTTTCCCCTCCAGGAGACAGATGAGCTGTATATTGTTTCACAGTTTTTTGTAGAAGAATGGAGGAAATTTGTCAGGTAATTCACTTGAGGGTTTTGGTGCTTTTTATTCCTTTTTTTTTTTGGTTGTTTTTTGGTTTTTTAGGGGGCTGTAGATAATGATTTAGCTTTTGAATCGGGGTGAGGCGTGTAGCTACCGTGTGGTTTTTTACCTTTGTGGAAACAAGGAAGCTGATTTTTCTCTCAGTTGTAAGAAACTGAATTTCCTTGTTTATTGTGTCTTAACCAGATGGTCGGATTAGATAGTAACCTGATTAGTTTGGTGAGGGTTTTTTTTCTCATCTGTCTGGAGCTGTATCCTAAGCAAAGGTCACTGCTCAATCCTGTTTCCACGGGCTGGGTGGTGGTGGTGGTAGGAGATGGAAATCTCTGCTAGGAGAGTCATTTTGCAACACACAGGAACGCAGATCTGATTTCCTCCTGGGTAGTGGTTTAATATTCCCTGTTGGAATGCCTTCTGTAAATATCCACCTGTGATTTCTTCTTGGCTGCCTGCAGACTTTGTGGGGTTTGGTTTTGTTTGGTTTGGTTTTGTTTTGTTTTCCTGAAATAACCTGACCAAGCTTTACAAACTCTTTTCTTTTCCTCACCCAGGAGGCCGACGCGATGCAGCCCCGTGTCCTCCGTAGGGAACAGCGCTCTTCTCTGTCCCCACGGGGGTCTCATGTTCACCTACTCTTCCATGACCAAAGAAGACTCCAAACTGTGAGTTTCTTCTCTTCACATGTTCCACCCTTTGCCAGGTGCTTTTGTCTCTCTCGGGAGCCTCGGGGGAGTGTTCCTGGAGTCTTGCTGAGCTACAGCAACACGAAGAGCAAATGTTTTTTGCCTTGAATAAAATTAACACATAATGCTTTCTCAGAACCACCTCAACCTCCATCCAAGGCAAGACCTAAATTGTTGAAGGATGCTGCTGGGTCAGGGGAAAAAAAAAAAGAGAGCTTACTTCAGCTTGACTAGTTCCTCACAATAAACTACCCTGAATTTGACCTGAACGTAGAAACATCCGACTTCCTTACAATTTAATTTCTCTGAGACTTTTTTTCCCCCCGCAGCGCTGGATGCTGGGCTGGAGTTTATGCTCCGTGGCTTTGCTTCTGCAATGATGCAGAACTAAAAGTAGCAGATCTTCTACTCCTCCTTCTCCTCCTCCTCCTCCTTCTCCTTCTCCATCCTCCCTCCAGCGTGACTGGAGCAGAACAGCGTCACTAATAACACGCTACTTGTTTCTCCCTGTGATCTCGGGCGTGCGGGGCCCCCCGTGTAGCTGGAGTTAGGGATTGATTCTGCAGCTTTGCTTTCATTATCAGACTAAAAAAAAAAGGAAAGGGGAGGTTGTTTGAGAGCTCAGGGTTTGGCTTTTCCATGTCATAAAGCAGATTCTTGTTCCTTTGCACAGTATAGCTCTAATATGGCCCAGTGAGTGGGAGAGGATTCAAAAACTCTTCGTGGTGGATCACATCATCAAAATCACCCGGACACAAGCAGGGGCCGACCCTGAGAGTGCACTTTACATCTCTGAGCCCCGTGAGTCAACCTTTTGACACTGTCTGTGCTCTTTTCTTTTGCTAATTGGTGCCAATTCCTTGGGAAATGGCCCTTGGTTGGATTTTTTGGGGGGGATAAAGGGTGAAATCTGCAGTGATCAGGAGCTTGGCAGATGCCCCTGGTTATTGGAGCTGCTCTGGGTTAGTGGTGAGAGGTGTTGGGCAGGTGTCTCCAGAGAGCTGAAGTAATTAAATTAATTTTTCCTTTGTGCCTCTCCCAGAACTCTGTCCAGAGTGCAGAGAAGGGCTGTTGTGCCAACAGCAACGGGATTTGCGTGAGTACACCCAAGCAACCATCTACATCCATAAAGTGGTGGATAATAAAAAGGTACGAGCTCTCTCCCTCCATCCTTCCTCATCCTGGCTCCGTTTCATCCAACAGAAACTGCACTGAGTACTCAAATCAATGTTCCAAACACAGTGGCGAGACAACTCTCCCAGCTTGATACATCCCAGCAGGGCCAGGACTTGCTGGTGGGGATGCTGGGTGGTCTGTGGTGGTGGTGGTGGTGGTGGTGATGGTGGTGGTGGTGGACAGGGCTGCTCTCTGCAAGCAAAAAGCACCCAGCTCTGCGGCTCGTAAAACTATCGCTTTGGCAAACCCAGCAAAACTCTGGCTCTTGCTGCTCTGAAATATTCTGCTCTGAAATTTTGGTCTCCTCGAGGCTTCCTTTTGCCAAACCAAATCCTTCATGTTATCAAGTATCTTCACAGATGTTCCCAGCTTTGGTTATTTTAGGCAACGTAACCATTTTCTGTCTTCATAATCGTGTTATCAAAGCTCTACCTGTTCTCCTCCCCCTCCAGTATTTGTCATTCCCTTTCTTGATGGCTGAAGTGACATTTATTCCTGGATGGGGAATAAGTTCTTCAACCTCCATGCTGATGAAACAGCAGTGAACTTAAGAGATGATTTTCAAGATGCCCTACAAAGCTGTGAATTATGTCTCAGCTTTACTGGTGTGTCAGGTCTAGAACTGGCTGTACAGGAACCCAAAAGCTGCTTCACTTTTCCTCCTCAGGGCTTGTTTTATCCTGTAAGGAGGAAACAAAAGCTCGTGGGCAAGATGTTCCCCCACCTTTGCAGTGTGGGGTTTGGTTTTTATACCTCTCATTGATTTATTTTTTTTAATTATTATTTTTTTAACCTCCCCACCAATCTAAGGGAGGAGCTGGAGCTCAGAGAGCTGCAGGATGCCGGAGGCTGGATGGGTTTCTGCCTGGGTTGTGATGTCGAGCACGCAGCACGACCTCCAGCCATCAGCTCTGGCTCCTCAGCCTGTCTCCAGCCTGAATCCCCAGGCTCTATCTTGGCTCTGATGCAGAGGAGGGTTGGTTGGGGTTGGGGTTGGTTTTTTTTATTATTGTTGGTTGTTTTTTTGTTTTTAATTGATGCTGGACAGGACTGTGCTTGCACGTGGGCCTGGCAAAAAAAAACCCAACCCAAAACAGGGAGCTATTCTTTGCTGAGCAGCTGGAGTTGGAGAGAGAGGGGGGGGAGGTGAGAACTTGCCTGGAGATCCCTCAGAGCAGGGCAGCCTCGGCGAGATGCGAAGCAGCGATAACACACCGCAGCTCGGCTGGCAGCACTCGAACCTGCTGCTTCCTTCCCTCCTGGTTTTGATGGGGGAGATTTGGGGAGTGTTTCCCATCCCCTCATCCCTGCTTTTCCTCCTTCTGACACCCCTGGGTACCTCTAACACTGCAAGAGGGGAAACCACGAGCATAGAAAATCAGCGTAGGGTGGCACTGCTGGAATCTGAAGGGCTCTGGGGAGGTTGTGGTTGGTGCTGGATGTTTAGGAGCTGGAATTGCATCGTTAATTGCAAATACATTGATGGAGAAACGAGCTCTCGGGCATCCAGGATGGAGAACACACCAGTCTCCTGGGCTCCTGCAAACCCCAGCTCCAGCCGAAGTGTAGATGTGAATAATTCATGTCTGGGCAGATCCAAGCTTCCTGGAGTGACTTCTACAGAACTGAACCTGCTTTTTATTTCTCTATTTGCTTAAATTATTTAGATTTCATTTACTTACAACTTCCAGCCCCATAAATAAGGGTGCTGAGTGCCTCTGGCAATCCGCTGCAGGCATGGCTAAGTGTCTTTAATTTACAGATAATATTCCTTTCTCTGGGTTAAGACTTTCGTAATACACTTAAATGAACCCGAGAAGCAGCCAATTAATGGGGAAGAAAATCAGTCCAGACCCCTGGAGACATTTCCTTTGCCTGGAGATGAGGGAAGGTCCTGAGCTTGCAGGAAACACCTGCAGTTCGATGGAGAAACTTCTTCTCCTGAGCCCAGTCACCCCCCAAGGGCTTCACTGCAGCTGGGGAGGGGTGGAGAAGACTTTGCAGGAGCAGATCCCTGGGTGATTCCCATCCTCTACCTCGGTTTGTTGGATCGAGGTGGCATCTCGAAGGTCTCTAAGGTGTTGGTGACGTGTGACAGGTTGGGTGGATGCCGGCGGGTTAGTTACGGAGAATAATTTTTATAACTTCAGGTAATGAAGGACGCTGCTCCGGAGCTGAACGTGAGCAGCTCAGAAGCTGAAGAGGAAAGGGAGGAAAACAAACCAGAGGGGGAACAAGACCCAGATTTTAACCAGGTAGAGATCAAAAATCCCACCCAAGGTTCCTCAGTTTTTGCATCGTTGAGTCAGCACGATGGGTTAACCCTCCTCCTCCTCCTCCTCCTCCTCTTCCTCCTCTTCCTCCTCCTCCTTCTCCTTCTCCTCTTCCTCTTCCTCCTCCTCTCTTCACCGCTAGCAGGCAAACCCAACAGCATCTTAAATCCTCACGTTACAGGTCCCACCGTGCCATGGCTTTGGTTTTTGGAGAGATCACATATTGATGGTGATTCCTACGCTTGGCTGGTAACGAGCCCAGCGAGAGCGTTAGGAGCAGGAACCGAGATTTCAAAGCGAGTCCTTTGGCTCTTCTTGACACTTGCATGTGGCCAAATCACTTTCAAAGAGGGGTTTTTTGATGCTTTGTGCCTTCCCTCGCATGACCGACTCACCCAAAACACACTGCAGGTTACTGGGGAGCTTGGATTTTCTATAAATTTTTTTATATTACATTTAATTTATTTAATTTTTCTATAAATTTTGTTCTATAAATTTTCCATAAATCCCAAAGTTTAAATCCTGATTTTTAAAAAAAATTTATTTATTTTTTTAATTAATTTTTACATCTTATTTCTAGACCAACGGTGGCACGAAGCGCCAGAAGATCTCACACCAGAGCTACGTCGCTTACCAAAAACAAGGCATCAGGCGAAGCACCCGCCACCGGAAAGTCAGAGGGGAGAAAGCATTGCTTGTTTCTGCAAACCAGACTCTGAAAGAGCTGAAAATACAGGTGAGAGGGTGTTGGTTTTATTTTTTCTTCAAGGAATGAGGAAGAAAACACAAAATTAGGAGCACGTGGCTGGGAGGGGATGGAGGGAAGGAGAGAAAAACCCCCCGCGGCAGCGAAAGACGCGCGTGGCTGGTGGGAACGGGGGGGTTTGTGTGGCTGGGTGGTGCAATAATTTGTTTTTTTGGGGGGTTTTGGGGGTTTTTTTTCTCCCCTCCACACCAAACCCGTGTCTCATTGTGTTGGCACAGATCATGCATGCATTTTCAGTTGCTCCCTTCGACCAGAATTTATCGATCGACGGGAAGTTACTGAGCGATGACACGGCGACGCTGGGCAGCCTGGGAGTCATCCCCGAGTCTGTCATTTTATTAAAGGTAAGTAGAGGTTAAATGAGAAAGAAAATGGAAAAGAAAATGAAAAAGAAAATTTAAAAAGAAAATTAAAAAGAAAATTAAAATAAAATAAAAATTA